TATGTCGTTTCAACAGCAGCCTGAAGCAGCATGACATGAAACTGAGAATTTTACAAGTAGAATTAGATATGAAATTGGAAGAGAGAGCTCAAAGTTAAATGCATGAGGCAGCTCTGCTGAACAACGTGATTAATTAAACTGTGAAAATAAAAAGGTTACCTCGTTTTGCAAGAGTGTGTGTATTGTCTCCATAAATTGTATTTTCGATCAGCCTTTGTTGAGTTACTCAGTTAATTATCTGCAAACTTTAACATTTTGTACACAACAAACACTATTAAAGCAAAAATAAGCCATAATCACTAGTCTATAATTAAAGACATCTTTAACTGGAGTGCTGCAATGTGGTAGCAGCTGTGTGTGCAAGTCCTCGTTGGTTATTCCCTGCTAAGTCCACATCTGCATCATCCTGATATTCCATCAGAGGATCCGAACAATCGTGCTGCTTCATGTGGTTGTGCAGCACAGATGTAGCAATAATCACTTTGTAGCATCTTCTTGGCTCAATATGAAGTGTATTCCATAAACATTTTAATTGAGATTTCCATACTCCAAACATCTGCTCCACCGTCCTACTTGTGTGAATATGAGCTCTGTTGTATCGTTGTTGCTCAGCTGCTGTGCGATGTAGATATGGCGTGAATAAGTGTGTACTGCCCATAGCCACTGTCGTAGTAGTCCACTGTGCTGTCCTCTGTCAAACTGAGCACACAAGTTCAGAAAAATCATGGAATCATGAGTTGCACCTTTTCAACAGCAACAGTGTTTGAAAACTCCAAATAGGGTGTGCATACACCCTGAACACTGATGGAAAACCAGTTCTTATGGTTCCTATACTGTTCCGCATCAGGAGTTTAATGGACACTTGATGGCAACATGGCATCTGTACAGCCGATCCCTCCTGGGAAATGTCCATATTCATAAAACCACACTTTATAGTTGGCTTGCTCAGCAGTATCAAGGAATTTGATGTACAGGGGTCGCAGTTCATAAATGGCACTGCAGACTCTGTGGACTATTCTACACACAGATGCTTCACTGGGACCACTCAAATCCCCAGTTTCACGATGAAAGATTCCAGATGCCGAGAATCTCAAACTGATCAAAACTTGGAACAAACTGGGTACAGACCTTCCTCTTTGATTCAGAGAGGAACTTCAAGGCTCAAGCAGAGCAATTATTTCCAGTGCATTTTCTTTGTTCATACAAAAGCTCTCAGATAGTTATTTCATCTAAGAGGTTCAATGTTTAATCTTATCCACACGTGCTGTTCTGGTCAGTCTACATAGTGTATATTGATCTTCATTTAGATGTTCTGAAAACTTCATGCTGCCAGAAAAACTGTGGTCCCTTTCACAAACAGTAATAAGCAGAAGTTAAACCTGTCCCTTTGAAGGATTATTTCATGTTTCATTTTAGTTGCAGAGTAGCTCTGATCCACTTTCTTGCAATTGGTTTTGTTTCATAGCCTTAGTCAGCCTCCCCACCATCACAGACATCTACACCTCCAGATGCAGGAAGAGGGTCACCTGCATCATGAAGGACCCCACTCACCCAGCACACACTTTTTGCCCCACTCCCCTCAGGAAGGAGGTTGAGGAGCATTAAGTGTAGAACCACTAGACTGAGGAGCAGCTTCTACCCTGAGGCTGTTAGACTCATGAATCTCTAACCAGGATAATCACTGGAATGACACTTTATATGTGCTGCTGATTATCCATGCTGCTGATTTCTTGTCTTTAATCTGCTGTATTCATACCCATCTGCTCACAACAGACTCATGTTCAGACTGCTGTTTAATACATCGTATTATATTACATTATTATTCTTTAGTGTATATCTTAGATCCTTGTATTGTTTCTTTTTATACTTTATATTTTTGCTATTTTGGGTGTAACTGGGACCTTAAGTACACAATTTGGTTCCACCTCATGTACCACATGTGATGTGAATGACAACAAAGAACCCTGAAACTTAAATTTGTGATGATTTTAAGATAAGGCTGTGCCAGGGACAGAGTGAAACCAGTGTAAACTGCATTTTAGTCTGGGACTATCCTTGTCTTGTCTGTGAAACCAGACCAATATATTCATTCAAGGAATGCTATGCCTTTGATCTTTATATGCTTTCTACACCATAAAACTACAGAAGGGATGACAAAGTGTTATTACTAAAACTATAACTATTCCACAGATTGTTACATCCTCACTGCTGGGCAACCAGATCAAATATGGCATTTCAAGCCCCAATCAAGACCAGTGATTGTGTGAAGGTTGTTGTTTGTGTATCTAAATTGAGCAGAGGCGAGAATCTTTCTGACTGACAGTTTTGATGTAAACAGATAAATGCATTAAAAATTAAAATAAAATAAATTTAATGATGAGAGTTTAGTGCCTGTGGAAAAATAAAAAAATATTCCACTAATAAAACATGTATTTGATCAGTTTGGGTGTATATACACAGCATTGTATGTTAAGGCAGGGTGTTGTGGTAGCTCGGTCTACGGTTGTAATCCTGAGGCTGTGAATTCAAGCCCACATTGCATCATCAAGGGTTTCCAGTGAAAGAAATAACCAAATCTTTCATGGGAGTTCACTTGCTGTGGTGACCCCTGTAGAAGTGAGCAGCTGAAAGAAAAACAACATAGGAAACATAAAACATCTGAATATGAAACAGGTTGCACCCTGATTTTGCCTGAGTCACAGTGTACAAAAGTTAAATTAGAAAAAATATACAAGGATGAATAAGTCTGACCTTACAGAATAATTTCCATCCATCCATCATCCATGAGATGCGCTCTCAAGTTTATTTTCCATCAGTCCAAAACCACATGCTGCTGCTCTGCAACATATTGGCTCACGGTTTAATTGGTACGTCGTGTACATTGTGTAAGTGTGGGTCTGCACACCAACACATCACAATTGGGAACAACATTTATTTCAGTTGTAGCCATGGCTTCATCAAGTATTGTCCATCCATCCATTTATTAACTTTATTTGCTTCTTATTTCTCAGTGGCAGAGGTCACTGTTGCCTATCTCCAGCAGTCTCTGTGTGAGAAGTGGGGACGATGTTGGACAGGTCTCCAGTCCATCACAGGGACACATAAAGACAGAGACAAACAACCATTCACTCTCTCACTCACACCTAGGGACAAGTTAGAGTCACCGATCAGACTAACATGCATGTTTTTGGTCTGTGGGAGGAAACCGGAGTACCCGGAGAAAACCCACGCATGCACGGAGAGAACATGCAAACTCCACCCAGAAAGGCTCCAAACAAGGAAGCCAGTTTCATAGATAATGAACATTATGGTGGTGTGGCTGACAGACCGACAACATCTTTGTTTAAAACTTTGACGTGAAAGATGACAAGTGATATGCATTCCTTCTAAGAATGCCACGTTCAATGTTTCTGCTGTTTTGGGGGTGCTCTAAGAAAAATACATGAAAAATATCTGATGTAGCATGAAGAATAACTTAACATGCAACATATGTTTTTTAATCAAACTCATCTACATCATATGATGTATTGCTGCCAAGACTCACTGATTTTTTTTTTTTTTTTTAAGCTTCAGAATCAAAATTTGTGAAAGAAACAGAAAACTAGCATCCAAATGACGGTGCTCCATTGTTTATGCTGTGGCATCCTTACAGAAATATTCAAACCCTTGCATCTAGTCAGTCCTAAAGTTTCCTCAATTCCCATCAGACCGTTATCACTCATATACATTTATGTAGCAACATGAATGTTGTTGAGTTGAGAAAACAACAACAAACAAAACAGCTGGTGTGAAATAGTGTAGAGTTCTAATGTAGCTGTTGTACATTACATTTGCTAACTAATGTAGCATTCTTTTATGCTTGGATGTCCTTTTTGAGAAAGGGGTTTGTAACTTTTGAGTTAAGCTTCATAGATTATAGTTAAGCTTAAAGTTTTCAAAATACTAAAAAAACAATATAAAAGCAGGTCTTTGTTTGGTTAGAAATAAACATAACCTGGATGAAGACCTCTTCAGACTCTATGCTTTGTGGCTAATGTTCCAGCTAATAAAGTCCTAACTACTGATATCATTTTGACAGCCCATTTTTTTTAAACTATTATTTTGAATTATGAACATATGTATTCTAGCAAAAGCTATACAATGGTATAAGATAGCAACTTTCAATATGGCCGTACTATGTGCTACTGCTCCTAGTCAAAACCTTTCACAGGTTTACGCCCAAAGACTTTCAGTCAGTTGAAAATAATCCTCGTGTTGTTCAACTCTCCTGTCATTTGTCGAAGCCGTACGCATTGTTAGTCACTCAGTGCTTGTTCAGGTCTTTGTCGCCCAAGTAACGCTCCTGAGATGCAAACAGCAGGATGAGTCTTTTTCTTAATAGTCGATTTGTTTACGATATTTGCGTATGGTCAGGATCTTTACCCAGAGCTTCCTGATCACAAGTCATTGCTGTAATAAATTATCTTCTTACACTGAATTCGTGGAGCTCCAACAACTCTTTCTTTGTGCCTGATTTCACTCATTTAGCTCTTGTCTTTCTAATTCGGCAGTACGGCTGTCAAGTGTAAGATCTTTAAAAATACATGGCCTCTGTTTCATTTATGAATAACTTTGTGATGGCTCATGAATTAAAGCACATATTCCTTAAGTGATAACCAGGGTTGTGGCCAGCAGGTGAGATCATCTTAAATCACAGCTGAGCTCTCTTTTCTTTGTACCGATCGAGACATGGTAGGATGCCCCGGCTCTCCCAACAACACTTTGCATGCACATTTCCATATATTCCATTCACGCTGGGTGGGGTGTTGTTGGTGGTGGGGGGGCATTTAGATTTTCTCAGTCACTTGAATCCCTCATTCCCAAACGGTCACAACCCCAGCTTCAGCCTGGCAGGATCTTATCTCTGTCTCCCATCGTAGAGGACTAGGAGATGGCGATAAAGTGAGTTACTGCATATTTGATTATTGGTGCTTTACAATTTTCAGCAACACGCAGCAGCCATGTGGAAATCACCCAGGAGTTTTTCACTCACTGTAAGTCTCCTTTTACACTGTGTTCACTTGTGACAAAGTGACTTCTTTCTAGGGTTACCATAAAATTTATACTCTGGGAGTGAACTGCTGAGCAGGCCTGGCAGAGTGTTGTTGGTGGATGTTGAGTTCATTGATAACTGGGCTAGTGATAGATCTAAATGCTCTTTTCAAGGGTAGATTGTGTTGCTTTCCCAAGGATCCACTGGAGGATGTTGAGTCCTGGAGTGAGTCGGTGGATAAAGTCCTCAGTAGTAAAGGTGAAATCTGATTGCACACGGTCTAACGTTACTAGATTACATGTACAAACTCCAAACTTATTGTCATCCTCTGATATCCAGCTGGACAAATAGCTTTACGGGAGTTCCTGAAGTCTGAGTACAGTGAGGAAAACATATTATTTTGGCTTGCCTGTGAGGAGTACAAGAAAATCAAAACAGTTCCAGAGATGATCTCATCTGCCAACAGGATCTACTCAGAGTTCGTCCAAACAGAAGCCCCCAGGCAGGTAAATATACGAAAAGGACAGTGTAAGGATCTTGTCCCATTTGATTTTATTCCTTTCAGATTGAATGAGATGAAAAGTGCTAGTTAAAAGTTGCCCTGGGCCATGTTGTTTGATTCCAGATCAACATAGACTGTTCAACCAGAGAAAACATTACAAAGAACATCTCCCAGCCAACCCTGACGTCCTTTGATACGGCGCAGAAGCTCGTCTACAGCCTGATGGCCAGGGACTGCTACCCACGCTTCCTCAAATCTGACATCTATCAGGGACTTCTGAGGAAAGCCAGTTCAAGGTGACTGTATTAAAACCGACAGCCTCTCAGACGGCGGCTCATGAAATCTTCTGTTCAGCTCTGATCTGCCGTAGCGCTCTTTGATGCAGTGTGGATAACAGGTTTACGCCATCCAGATCTCTAGCTGTAGCTGATGTAGTTGTTCCTCAGCCTGTGTGATTCAGTAGTTCCAGCTAAAAATAATTTATTACTTCAAATATGTTAAGACAAAAAGATTGTGCAGATAAATCTTCCTTGATTATTTTTTAATTTCCTGTAGTTTAACTCAGAAGGCTTAGAATACCAAACATCCATTTATTAATTGTAAAGTATTATAGCGACATTAATTGATTATGCAGAGTAGGTAATTTGTTGAGCAAATTTTTAACTTTGAATGTGCAAAAAAAAAAAAAAAAACAATCCCTAGTTTTGGTCTCTATCCCAAGTTTACTTGCCAGCCTGAATTGTAATTTAAATTTTAAAAAGTAAATATATTCATTAAAGTGTGATCTTTGTGAATGTAATGCAAATCACTTATGTTATCTTATGGTTGTTAGTGATTTAAACAACAGGTGGCAACAGAGTCCTAAAAACTAAGGTATAACTAGGGATGGAAGGGAGGTTGTTCTACATTTCCTTAACTTTGTGCAGCAGCTGTGCTGCAGTTTAAGTCTGTACATAGAATGTATGTAATAAAGATGTGCATGAATCAACTTTGTCTCAGTTACATTTGCCTGGAATGCCAAAAAAGCTAAAGGGTGGGATGATGGAGGACTAACACTGTCACTCACTGTGGAAAAGTATCTAACAGAAAACATAAAACTGAATGTTAATTGTTAGATAAAATAAATATCCTTTCATCATATGCTTGCTCAAATAAGCCACTCTGAGGACACGAGAAGATTTTTTTAATCGATCTTTACTTGCAAGGGTAGACGGTCAAGAGGAAGCTGTCACAGATGTACAAAAGTTACACGCGTTGAGCCTCATCAGTGAGAATCTGCGCCAGACCCAGAGGCAGGAAATGCTTAAATACACGCTTACCAGACTGAGGCGAGGTCAAGACGACCTCGGCTTTCCAGTTCACAGACTCAGGGAAGGCCTTGGAGTTTAGCATGTGCGCCTTCGTGCACCTGCAGGCTCCTCTCTGAGTAGACAAAAGACTCTCTTGACCTCGCACACACGATTCAACATTAAATTAATATTAGTTAGTGATAACATCCGTGACCTTTACCTAAATTCCCTTGACATTAATTACAGAGGCCTATACGTTTTGTTCAAACAAACTCAACTTACCCTCACATTCGTTTTACTTTTTATATGGTTTACACTCTTTTTGTTTTATCCCAGTGTGCCGCTCACTTCTATTGATTTCTCTCAATTCCCACTAGAGTGAAGCCTGCACACATCTATTTACTCCCATTGCATCTGAGCTCTGAAGTCTCTATTCAAAACTGGAAGTGAATGCTCTTCTTAACTCTTCCACTTTTTGTGCATCAATACATGGATGATTTGTCATATCAGGTTATTACCAACGTCTCAGATTACAGCAGGGCTACAGAGAAGAAAGTTAATGGGTGCTGGAATTAGGCAGTGGCTGCATCGACATGCTTCAGCATTTCTTCTGAAATCTGAAGGGTTTTTTTCCTCCCACGATTTGTACTTAGTTGTAAGTGATAGACTTGTTTTTGTTTATTTCTCATTGGGACATAATGACTTTTACAAGCTGATGTAATAGTACATGCAAAAAGCATGCAAATACAAGAGCACAACATGCTCATCATTATTATCAGACAAAAAGAACTAACAAAAAAATAATTTAAATTCCCCATAGGAAATATAAATTTCTGCACAGCTTGTGTTAATTGTACAATATTGTATTCTAAATAATAAAATGCTAATCCATCATATTTCTTGTGGTGTTTTTGTATGTTTGGAAAGTAGAAATAAGCAAACCATGGTCCCCCCCCCCCCCCCCCCAACACACACACACACACACACATTTTGGTAAGTGCACGTAGGTGGCAATGAATGAACATTGGCTTTATTTTAAGAGATGCTTCATGTGGGGCAGCACGGTGGCGCAGATGGTAGAGCTGCTGCCTCTCAGCGAGCAGGTTACCCCGGTCCGGGGGCCTTTCTGGGTGGAGTTTGCATGTTCTCTCTCTTTGCATGAGTGGGTTTTCTCCAGGTACTCCAGTTTCCTCCCACAGACCAAAAACATGCATGTTAGGCTGACTGGTAAATTGTCCCTAAGTGTGAGTGAGAGAGTGAACGGTTGTTTGTCTCATTTGTCTCTATGTGTCCCTGTGATGGACTGAGACCTGTCCAGGGTGTCCCCCGCCTCTTGCACAGTGATTTCTGGACATGGGTATCAATTACCCTGTGACCCGAAAAGGAAGAAGAGGGTAAAGATAATGGATGGATGGATGGATGGATGGATGGATGGATGGATGGATGGATGGATGGATGGATGGATGGATGGATGGATGGATGGATGGATGGATGGATGGATGGATGGATGGATGGATGGACGGACGGATGGACGGATGGATGATTAATGTGTTTGACAGACGCTGCTTTCTGGGTCGTGCAGACATTGAACCACAACTTCCTCTAGTTTTGATGGCTCTGGGTGCACTCGTCTTTGTGGGAGGGTGGTTAAGTTTGTTGGTGACAGTAAAGAAAACTCAGAAAAAAGAACAACAAACTTGCCTTTAATAAGTATTTAATACAATTTAATGCATAGTAATGTTAAAAATGTATACTAATGTGTTGCCAAAGAATGTGCCAAAATATTTTATGAGAAGATGAAAAGAAGCTATACAACCTCTTCTAGATGATATCTGGTGACAACAGTTCGCAGAGGAAGTGACAGGTTTTGTAGCCGAAAAAGAAAATGTGATAACAGCTAATGTCACCACTGCAAGTCATCAACATCTGCATTCTGACACACAGCATTTCCTGTCAGACGAACAAATATCTAGAGTGAGACAAAGTAGGCGTTTACATCAAGAACAACATGAGTGTTTTCTCAAGCGTTTCATTTTATTCACCTCATGCACTGTACGTCATCACACTGAGCTTGGAGCTGTGCAAGTATGCGTTGTAGCTTCACTACAGTCAACTGATTCAGAGGAAAACCTGGTGGGCAGATGTTTCTGGATCTGTTTCAGACAAACAATTTCATTTATTTTTTTTATATCATGTATATAACATACATCACTTGTATTTATATACGCTACATTTTATTTTTTTAATATTTTTAATCTCCTTAAGGCTGCAGTGTATTCTAGGAAACATCAAGGTTTCATGTGACTTTATTGTCATTTGCATCACATGTGGTACATGAGGTGGAATGAAACTGTGTACACATGGTCCCAGTTACACCAAAAAATGGGAAAATATCAAGTATAAAAAGAAACAGTATACAAAAATGTAAGATATACACTAAACAATATTAATATAGTATAATATGATATGATGTATTAAACAGCATGAGGATGGAGGGACAGACGTCTTACACACAGATCTAAAAAAGTTAATTTTTCTACCTGGATTATTGAGCATGCATCAGGAGATCTTATGCACAGAGATTCTGCGCAGTCCTTCACTTCTCCTCCTCTCCAAATATTGTCCCTCCTCAGCGGGTCCACGCACTGGAAAACACCCGCCTCCTCCTGTCAGACCCCCGAAACAGAAACGATCATTTATTTAACTGAATACATAAATTCCCTGTGCGTACAGTGCACGTTATACACAGAAACGTCCCCAGACAGCTCTAGTGTGCGCACATCAGCAGATGTCTGAAATGTTACATTTCAGTCATAATAAATAAAAAAAGCTTACTGTAAAAAATTAATTAAAAATACAAAGATAGAAATGTTCGATGTGAAGTTCACATTATACGTCACATTTCAAAACAACGGTGCTAATTTGTCAAAATAACAGCAGCGATGAAACTGTCAAAGAGACAGACCAATTTACTTTAAGAAAAAATGGATGGATGGATGGATGGCCTTAGTTGGACAACAGAGAACTGAAGCCTTCAGGTGCTTCAAACGGTGCCACAAGATTGGAGCAGGAGCGGAGAAGAGTTCAGCTCAGAACCACGAAGTGTGTGTGTGTGGGCGGGGGGGGGGGGGGGGGGTTTAGGACACCTGACAGAATCGGAGCTGCTCATTCACACACAACCTGTTGTTCCTCTCCAAAATAATAATTTTATTGAGTTTACAAATGTAGGTAAATGTTGATGTATGGCAACCAGTTAAAATAAACCAAAATGCAAGAAATGTCATCTCTGTTATTCAAAATTTTCTGAGAGGACCCATGGACCCTGAGGCTGAGTGGTTAGAGCAGTCGTCCTCCAATGTAAGAGTTGGGGGTTCGGTTCCACCAGCAGTCACATGCTGAAGTGTCCCTGGGCAAGACTGAACCCCTCATTGCCTCTGATGTGTGTCCCATTGGTGTATGAACGTGATAGAGCATTGATTAGTCTCTGTATAGATAAAGTAGAGTGATGTCTGAATGCTTTTTCACAGTGTACAGTTTACTGTATGTTCTATAGTGGCATTTCGGGATAAAAAAATAAAAAAACATACATTACCAATGACCCAAAATACACAAAATAATTTTGCCCTCACACCCTCTCCTCACCACACACACATGCCCGTGCCACTCTCACCATGAATGTGAAACACGTAAGACGGACAGTTGGACACAGAGCTGGAGCAGCACTCTTCGCCTCTCCTCTCCTCCGCAGCCCAGCAGTGCCCTGGTGGCGACGGTTAACCAGCAGGTAACAATCAATAATGGATTTGTCTCATAGATCTCAGATGCCCAAGTTCTAACTTCATTTGCATCTGTTTCATCTCGTCTGTGAAGAAAATCTCGTCCAGCGCTATTAACCCTAAATCATCATGCACAGCTGAACATTGATTTAGCTTATTTGCAGCAAAATGCCAAGAAAAGAAAGGCAGAGGAAAGAAAAAAGAAGAGAGCTACAGCAGGCAGTCGGGGAGGCAGCACTCTGTGGATCAAACCAGCAGCATCTACAAGAGGATGAGGAGGGGAAAGATGAGGAAGAAAAGTCAGAGTCAACACCACAGTCATGTTAAGAGATAAACTGTCTGTAAAGAGCCCCTCCATGCTTAGGTTTGTTCTGGTTTGATCATTTTTATAATAATAATATAAAATCAAAATGACTCTGTAGGCAAGTAGTTCTGTGGTAGAATGATGAATTGTGGCCATGACAGTCAGGTACAGTCTGGTGAGTCTTAACGTTGTAATTAATTGCATTAGCTCTTGTCAACAAGCAGTTTTACTCAAATAAACATCGTATTTAATATTGTTTATTTTCTAGGCAGCTACAGCAGGCGGCTCTATGCTGTCGTGCAATAGACCATCTGTCAGCATGGAAGATGAGGGAGACGAATCATTAGAGTCCAGAGTGTGGACAGCTTTGAAAAAGCAACACTAACAAGACAACTGCATGTTCATGTCTGCCATAACTGCTTTAAATACGAAGAACTAACAATACAGCAGGACAAGACGAGGGTCATCTTGAAGGCGTAGCTCCATTTGTGTATGTCCTGTCCTCTCTACATCAACACTGTGATTAGTTACTTTTCCTGTTAGTTAATAAACAAACTCATCCTGGAGAGCCTCTGACTGAGCTGTGCCTTCTCTCCTGACAGTGAAGTCCTAACTTCAGCTCCTTCAAACATGTTTCTGTAAAATAATCTAATTAGATAACTAAACTGAACTAGGCAAAAGGGCCTTCTCCTACTCCGCTCCTGTTTCCTGGAATATCTTACAAAAAGATTTGAAGCTCTCGACCTTGACCTCTCTAAGTGTCTTTAAGAATCTGTTGGACTCCTGGCAGGGTCCAATGCAGACATGTTCCTGTTTTTAGTTTTCTACGTTTGTCTTGGAATCTAGCTGTTTTTTGTTTTGTTACCTTGTCCTTTTAGCCATCCTATTTGTTAAAAAAAAAAAAAAAAAAAAAAAAAAAAACTGTAGTATGAGTTTTTATAATTGTTTAGTGTTGTTGCTGTTGTCCATTGTTGTCATCTTTCTTTGTTGAAACCAGGTCTCTCTTGTAAATGAGTCCTCGAGGCTCAATGGGATTTACCTTTATAAATAAAGGTTGATTGATATTTTCATGAAGTAAAATGGTTTATTGCTCAAAATCTCAGTAATTTACAAAACTAAGAGAATTCAGTTAAAAAAAGAAAAGGAAAAGTACACTGAAATATGTGTTTCATTAAAAAATAAATCTTAAATCAAAATTTAAATGTAAAGTTTCATATGTGCTAAATTATTGGGCCTTCTCTGAAGGCCCTGAGGGTTTCCCACTGTCTCCCTTAAATTGTCCATCAGTTTAAGCAAAAGTAGTATTTAAAAAAAAGATTAGTATCACTGTAATGCAAAAGAAGATGTCTAAAGTGTATCTGTAAGGATTTTCAAAAACTGCCACTGAAATCAGCTAAAAAAAAACATACAATTTGTTTTTCACATTGTTTCACTTTTTTCACAAACATTTCTGAAACCAACAAGAACACAACAACAGGGGAGTTGCTGAAGTTGATACAAGCCCATGAATTGCAACTCAGTGGAAATTAAACACAAAGTTAACACAGTCGCGCACGCACACACACACAAACAGAACTCATCGCAGCAAAACAATAAAATGTTTAAGCAGTTACAATGCTCACGTCACTGGAACTGAACCAAATAATAACAGAGGAACTACAGGTGGTGTGCATAAATTTAGAGGGGGAAAAAATGTTCATTATATTTCACTAGAATTTTATCAACGTTTGTGAAGTCCAGAGAAATGTTCAAATGAAAGGTTACATTACACCATACCTTTTAAATTATTTCACCATTTCAAAGAATCAGCCTCCCCCATCACAGACATCTACACCTCCAGATGCAGGAAGAGGGCCACCTGCATCATGAAGGACACCACTCACCCAGCACACACACTTTTTGCCCCACTCTCCTCAGGAAGGAGGTTGAAGAGCATTAAGTGTAGAACCACTAGACTGAGGAACAGCTTCTACCCTGAGGCTGTTAGATCCATGAATCTCTAACCAGAATAAAAATATCACATCATGTTGCTGCTGATCTGTTTCATGTTGCTGCTGATCTGTTTCATGTTGCTGCTGATCTGTTTCATGTTGCTGTGTTCATTCTGCTCACACAGACTCATGCTCATGCTGCTGTTCGGTGTATTGTTTTTGTACTTAGTGCTTAGCATATTTTTAGGTAACGTTTTTCGTAGTTCATATCTTTGATCTTATTGCTGTTTTTTTTTTTTTGCATTTTAATATTTTGTTGGATGTAACTGGGACCCTGTGTACACAATTTCGTTCCACCACATGTACCACATGTGGTGCGAATGACAAATAATGAAGCTCTGACTCTCTGACGCCCAAAGCTGCAACCAAGCTTTGGTTATAAAATGAATCACTACAATTTGATGCCAAATTCATGAAAATAACAAACAACTGAAAAGTAAATCAGACGGAGACTTTGTTACCATAATGAAGGACTTTTACTGTGAAAGGCGTCTACGGTGGAACAGATCAACAACAGAGAGATAACAGGGATACTGCCTTTTCTAAGCCATTGTGTTAAATGATGGGTCTGATTATCAAATTTAAACCCCTTCATGGCATTTTATCAAAGCCAGAGATTTCTTCATTTATGTATGTGACATAGAGAAGAGATCACAGTCTGTGCATTCACAAGCTTCAGTTTAGTCTAAACTGGAAACACTGAGGTGTCTTGGTGGTCTAGCAATTATACCACATAACCACAATGCCTTGGTTTAGTTCCCATGAATGACCTTTGTTGGATTTCTACCTCCCTGTTCACCCCCATGCTTCCTGTTTGCCCCCGCTAGCACAGATTCAAAAGTGCAAAGAAGCTGAAGAATGGAAACTAAGACATAAACAGAAAGAAGAGAATCCTGAAGACTGAATATATTGTAAAAGTTGAAAATATTAGAAACAATAATGGAAATGAGAAAGAAAAGGTTGAAAAAGAGGCAACGCTGGAACCGTATTTTGTAAGAAGGTATGAACACTTTATATTATTGTCAAAATTGTTGACTAATAAACTGTATATAAACACCAGGTTTAAAGACTAAAATAATTCCTCTGGTGCGATTAATTTTGCAACCCACTATAGTAATGCACAAAAATCTAATGTTTATTTTCTGCTGCACTTTGTTTAAAATGTAGCAACTAGAAGCTCAATGTCACATTAGAGAATGCAAAGTTACTGACTTTTTAAATTAAGTGAGTTCAGTTTCTTGGCAGCACGGTGGTGCAGTTGGTAGAGCTGTTGCCTCTCAGCGAGAAGGTCGCCGGTTCAAATCCCGGCTGAGGGCCTTTCTGGGTGAAGTTTGCATGTTCTCTCCGTGCATGTGTGGGTTTTCTTCAGGCACTCCGGTTTCCTCCCACAGACCAAACTGTTAGACTGATTGGTAACTCTAAATTGTCTTGAGATGTGAGTGAGAGAGTGAAGGGTTGTTTGTCTCGTTTGTCTCCATGTGTCCCTGTGATGGACTGGAGACCTGTTCATTGTGTCCCCTGCCTCTTAAACAGTGACTGCTGAACATGGGCACCAGTGACTCCTGTAACCTGAAAAGGAAGAAGCGGGTAAAGATAATGGATGGATGGTTTCTTTGCTTCTACTCTCATTTCTGTTTCAGTGTTTTTATGAGTGTTTTCCACTTCAAACTAAAATATGAACAGCAATCATTAACCGTACAAGTCAAAACAGGACTTAAAATGTTTTATTAAAATTTGAGTGCAAATGAGAGTACTTAAATAGTCTGAGTATCTAGCTCACAACATGTATCTAAAACCTGAAACAGTGGTTACTGGCTCTCAGTAGAACAGATGCTAAAGCATTTGCCTATGCTGCTGAACTTTCCACCTGCCAATTTGCATCTTCAGGCTCTAAACCAAGCAACACAAGTTAGAGTACAGTACAATCAGACAACTGTAGCTCCATGCTGCACATTTGCTCAAACGCTTGCGTCATTCACAACTTCCTCTTTGACTTGTGGTTAGTTCAGACTGCTGATGTGACGTTACTCACCCTACTGATTTCAGACTTCTTCCCTACATATATAGTGTTGCTGCGAGTGTTGACGAGACAGACGCAGTCGATCACCTCTACGAGTAGCCCAACGTAAATCATACATGTACAAAACATTATTGCCATGCCAAGTCTAGTTTCATTACCATCGTTGGAACTGCCGCTTTTTAATATGGAAACTGATGACAAGAAGACTGGAAGATGCAGGTACTTTTTAATGAAGTTAACACAGTTTAAGTACTGTTGATGTCCATTTTGTACACTATGTAAGTCTTGTTGGTTTGTGTTTTGTTCTGTTAACCAGGACAGGAAACTTAAAGTCTCGGCTGCAAGCTAAATTACTACAGGCAACGAACACAGAGGGGTAAGTTCAGAAAAGTCTACTTTTAATTGAACATTCATGTTGCTCAGTTCAAATGATAATAACAATGCTCTCCTATTTTGTAGACTTTGTTTGGAAGAGATGGCTCAGTGGTCACAGTCACTAGAAAGACTTTTATCTTCAAAGTGTAAGTCGACAAATAACTCCTTCCAAACTCTATATTCAGTCAGTATGTCTTTCCAAACATTAGTTAATTCGTATTTAATTTCCCCTATGTGTTTAGGTGGGATGAAAATATTTCAGGCTTTCCTGAAGTCAGAGTTCAGTGATGAAAACCTTGAGTTTTGGGTGGTTTGTGAAGATTATAAGAAGATCAGGAGTTCCTTCAGAATGTCATCCAGAGCCAAAAAGATCTTCAAACTCTACATTCAAGCTGAGGCTCCTAGAGAGGTACATACAGAGCTTTTTATTTTTATTTTTTTTTTTTTTACAAACTAAATGTATCTTTTTTTTTTAAAACGGAAAAATGACACCACTGTGGCTGCTGTAGTTTCCATTATAATTTCTTTGGTTTCAGATCAACATAGATCACAAGACCAGGGAGCTGATCCAGACAAACATAAAGGTTCCTTCTGCGGTTTGTTTTGATGATGCCCAAAAGCTCGTCTATGGGTTAATGGAGAAGGACTCATACCCTCGCTTCCTAAAGTCGGACATTTACAGGACGTTAGTGGACTCTACATCAGACTCAATGAGGATGTAAAGAAAATCTGCTATAAATGCTGTTCGAAGCAGGACTGTACTGTAAAGCTGTCTATCGCTGGACTATACCTGAGAGACGCTGCGTTGTGCTTGTGTTTGACCGAGGGCGACCACACTCAACCTAAACCACCCTTTCTAAATGCTTGCACCTTCATCAAGAGCTTGAGAATACTTTGGGGATTCTTATTACAACACAAGCCCCTCTTTGAGACTTAAATTTTTTTTTAAAGTGTGAGAGATTATTCAGAACTGAATTGTATTTAAAAAAACGAGCTATTTGTCTTGGTCCACAAATGACTTGGCAAGAGCAGCTAATGTGACTGGAACTGTAAAGGAAAGGATTTCCCAGCGATGTAGACTTGTTGAAAATTGTGGGGACTTTTTGTAAGTGACACCAAAAAAACAGTTCTTTCAAGCGAAAATGAAAGTGTACAGACAGCAATGGTTATCTACATTAGCACATCCTCTTAAGTGTGTTAATATCTCACTAAGGCAAAAGCTAAGTAATAGAGGTGATAAAATCTTTTTTTTTTTCAAGCCTATTTTTATGTGTGTGCCTGTTTTACATTTTGATATCAATAAGCTATAAGTTGAAAATGTGTTCAACGTGTGAAAAATAGTTCAGGTGTTTGAATTTAAATGAGTTTGAAGTGTTTAATAAAAGAAAATTGCTGTACATGTACTCAAAAACTTTGTCAGACAGAAAATGAAATGTGTCTTACTAACTCAGGAAGTACCTTTGTTCAATCGTGTACTTACTCCCACTTACAGACTTTACAGCTGAATGTCTTGTCTAAGGTGTAAACATGAGCAACTTAAAAAAATCTGGCTTGTCTGGCACATTAAAGCTTTGAAAACTAATTTATATTGTTGCAAAAAAAAAAAATAGGGAAATACCAGTACAGGCACTGGCCCATTTTAACTTTGGCGGTGAGCTAAATAAAGCCACAATTTGATGCTAAAATGAGCTGTACTATTGAAGAAGTGTTCAAAACAAATCCATGATTATGTTGTATTATTGCACATTCACCCATATGATTGGGCTGCAGCAGTCCTCTGATTACAGAACCAAATGTTTCATGATTTACTTTTTATCTAAATTTTAAACAGACTGGACTCTTGCTTAGGTGGTTTTTTTTTCTACAGCATACAATTCATCTCAATTTTTTGTAAATCTGAAGGTTGAGTTGGGCGTATAAGCATACAACCAAACAGCATTTGTTGTGCTGATTGAAATTCAACTACAGATAGTTTGAGTCAAAAGCAACATTTGAAAAGCATTTCAATCAACACTGTAATTAATAGAAAAGATTATCAGTATGGTTTTCCAAATGACCTTACTCACACTGCATCATAACCCTGCTAGGACATAAAAATGTGGCCGGTGGTCTTTGCAGTGACTTGGCAAGGTCTACAGCAACATATTAAAAATGTAGTGTGATCTCTGTAGAGCATGATACCTTATATTGAAACAAAGTCATAACTGTGTCAAAGTGATGGAAACCACCTGGTGCAGATGTGATACCCATGGCTTTTGCTTTATGCTAGAGTATAACTATCTGCTAGCACCTAGGGAAACGTCATGATTCCCATTCACACTGAAGGCCAAGTGTTATTCTTCACAGCGCTGAAATAGGCATTAGAACTGAGCTGCTCTCTTATAAATAAATTTGTTTCCATCAGTTCAAAACCACATGGTGCAGCTTTGCTACATTTCGGCTCACGATTTATTCGTTCATTGTGCACATTGTCTGAATGTGTCTGCACATTGCAAATGTCTTTCAAGTGTAGCCATGGCTTCATCAAGTGTTAGCCATCCAGCCATCCATTATCTTTACCCACTTTTTCCTTTCCGGGTTGTGGGGGTCACTGGTGCGCATGTCCAGCAATCACTATACGAGAGGCGGGAGACACCCTGGACAGGTCTCTAGTCCATCACAGGGACACATAGAGACAAATGAGACAAACAACCGTTCACTCTCTCACTCACACCTAGAGACAAATTTGAGGTTTTTGTTGTTGTTTTTTTCAACCTTTATTCCTACAGGTTAGTCTCATTGAGCCTCGAGGACTCATTTACAAGAGAGACCCGTTTAAAACAAAGAACACAGATGTCAACAGTAGACAATCATAAAAAAGCATATAATATTAAAACTAAATGGAAGAAATTATATTATAAAAAGAATCAAAAACAGCTACATTTTAAAACTTAGAGAGGTCTGAAGCTCTTGATCTTGACCTGTCTAAGGGATTTTACACAACTGTGAAGTTCATGGCACAAACCAATGCAGACATGTTCCTGTTTTTAGTACTTTATATCACTTTATAATGTAGCTGTTTATTTTATATAATTTCTTCCATTAATTTTTCATTTTATATGTTCTTTTTATGAATGTCTGTCTACTGTTTTCATCTGTGTTCTTAGTTTAAACAGGTTTCTCTTGTAAATGAGTCTTCGAGGCTCAATGAGGCTTTTTTTCCTTTTAAGCCTGAGATGATCACATAGCAGAGTGATGATATTTCAAGGACATGTACGCATTCAGATACTTCAGTCTATTTTTCAAAAATTGTATAACTTCAATTGTGAACTGAGGATGACGTTGGATTGCTCCTACATGTTGAAAATGGTCTGTAGCCCAAACAGCGCTCTGCCGTCCACCATTGATTTGTTTTATCGGCAAGTGAGCAGAATAACAATTGTTTGACTCAGACCATGAGTGGGATTTAACATAAGTTGTGTTTTTTCTTGAAACCATTCAAAAGTCTTCCGAGTTTTTTTGTCAGTGGAAATGGCTGCTGCTGTTAGCCAAAATGCAACAAATCTTACGGTTTCACTTAAAAATTGTGTATATATGGCCTCGTAGATGGCACTTTCATAGCTGTAGGAGTTCAGTAGGAGTTCAGTTTTGGTTCACAGCTCAACATTGCATGATAGTGCCATGATGGTGCCAACCAGTCACACCTGGAGATCAGCTCCCTTAAAGAGAGGCTAGAGTATAAGAGGCAACAGAAGACATTCTTGCATTACACGCTTTAGGACGTATGCTTCTGGGCAACTAAACCTTCTTCCTAAGTTTTGTGATTTCTAATTATTACTTCTCACGTTTTACAGTTTGACTCCAGTTGCTTCCTGATTAGAGTTGCATTTGGACCTAAAAATTCTGGCCCAGCTCAGCTCGAACCCGTATCATTTTTTTCCAAGCCTGACCAAAAACAGACGGATTAACTATAATTACAGGCCCGAACCTGAAAAAATAAAATAAAATTAAGCTTTTACTGCTTTTGTAAGCAAATCAGTTTGACATCCATCCATCCATTCATTATCTTTTACCCACTTCTTCCATTTTGGGTCACGGGGGTCGCCAGTGCCCACGTCCAGCAATCACTGTGCGAGAGGTGGGGTACACCCAGGACAGGCCTCAGTCCATCAAAGGGACACAGAGAGACAAACGAGACAAACAACCATTCACTCTCTCACTCACACCTAGAGACAATTTAGAGTTACCAATCAGTCTAACATGCATGTTTTTGGTCTTTGGGAGGAAACTGGAGAAAACCCACACATGCATGGAGAAAACATTGAAATTCCACCCAGAATGGCCCCTGGACCGGGATTTGAACCAGGGACCTGCTCGCTACGAGGCAGCAGCTCTACCAGTTGTGCCACCGTGCTGCCTGGAAGATTTCTTGTTTCACCAAATGGATATTAGAATGCAAAACAAATAGCCTAAAAAAATCAACTCTAAAGACAGGCTATTATACAGAGGAACAAAATTATTTTTAAAGCAAAATTATTTGCAAAAATATAGAACAAGGCTATTTTGATTGAACGTGCTGCTCGTTTCGGCTTTTGTAGATGCTGCTATTTCTTTCACTGTAGATGACAGCATACCATACCATATCATACCATACCACTTTATTTCTAGAGCAGAGGTGGAGATGCATGCAGCCAGTGATCAGCTGATCCATCTGAGCTTAACTGGACCTTTTTTAACCTCTTTCAACCGGCCGGTCGGACCTGCCTCCTCCTCAACAAGTAGATAAACACAATTTTATATTTTGCATTCTTATTTAGCTAATTTGTGTTGTAGGATTCATAAAACCGTATCATAGAAGCCCGAGCCAACATGCATGATTACTGCGCATTGCGCCAGCCGCAGCACTACTCTCTTTTCACAGTCTGATTAACTGCTGCACTCTTCTTTCTTTCCTCATCCACTCAACATAGTAAACTTACTGCCTCCTCCTCTACAAGTAGATTAACACTATTTTATATTGTGCATTCTTATTTAGTTTTCTTTGCGCTGTATGATTTGTAAAACCGTATCAAAGCCCAAGACCGGCCCGGCCCGCACATTAAGCACATTATTATGGCCTGGCCAATTTGGGCCGGGCTTCGGGCCCAGGTTAGAAATGACAGCTCTATACCTGATCTCCTTGTGGACTTGGACCTCCTTGTGAACTCCCCAGCTGTCGCCTCGCCTTCCGACCACTGCCCAACTGTTAATTGGACTCTCCTCGGATTATTCCTCATACCCTGTAACCACTGGATATTAACCCCCGTGCTACTCTACCAGTCTAACTGTAAGAACAAGATCAATAGTATCGTATCTCTTAAAATCAACACTCACCACACTCACCTCTCTCCTTGCTCTTCATGGTTCCAGCTCCTTCCAGTGACTGTGAATTAATTTCCACTGTAAATAAAACACTGTATTTTCTACTATGAGTCTTTGAGTTGTTTCTTCAGTTCATGCCCTTTGGGTATTGTTTGAAACCTAACAATAGCTCAACAGGGACTCTCAAATAACAGATGTGATGGGTATAAGTGCACACTGATTGACAGACCAAATTAAATGCTTTTATAGCATCTCAATTAAATTCAATTCAAAAATACTTTATTAATCCCAAAGGGAAATTAAGTGTTGTCATAGCTCATCATCCTGGTTTCATTCAAGAGTTTTTATAGATGCTGATAGCTGTGGGCAGGAAGGATCTGGC